GTGGGCCCTTCTAACTTGTGGGCCCTTCCTTGTATCCAAGGGACATCTAGTTGTTTCTTTTTTGTCCAGTCATAACAAGATTTCTTAAACACTATCTATTCTGAAGATAATTTCCTTGCTTTCTAATATAACACCTTTTTAATTGTACACAGTTCTGAAAGTCAAAACTTATTATTTCTTATAGTGCCACAGCATATATTTAATTCTGTTGAAAAACTGGGTAACAGTTATTACCTTCTTTTTTTTTTTTTCCAAATGCTCCAATTTTATTAAAAGCAAGTAATACCATGAGAAATTTTGAGGAAAAATTCAACACTGAAACATGGATTAAGAAAAGCTTAATATACTACCTCAGATAGGCTCGGACCCTGCATGCTCGAAACCAGCGCTGGATCTTGACAGCAGCTTTGTACTTTGTTTTTCTGTCTTCATCTATAGCTCTGAAAATATAAAAGTAGTAATACTTCTCAGCATGGTAACATATAAAAAAAGCAAAAATATTATTCTATATATGTTTTATTGTTGCAGCTTGGGATTTTTATCACCAGGTTTTTCACTTTTAATTCTACATAATTCAATGGTAGTGCAGAAAAGTATAATTTACATTAGTTGCATAGTATGAAGGTAACAAAGGATATTGTAGCTTGTAGAGGATGTAAGCTTTGGGAGTGGATATTTCTTATTCCCCTACAATACTTAGATACATGTCAGCATGTCACATGGACATCTTCCATTGTAGGTGAAAAATGTGCATAATGCTTTAATAATTAGACCCGAGTTACAAAAAACATCACAACTGTATAAAATTGCGAAGCTACAGTGTTTGCGACAAAGCTAAAAGTCATGTTAGGAAAACATGAATCTAAAAGAGATTAGAGGAAAATATTATTAGTCTGGAGGAGACTTTACAGAGAGTTCAGGAAGAAATCATTACCATTATGAGTTTCAGTGCTGAGGTATGAGATCACCTCTAGCTTTTATTCTTTTTTTGTTTGTTTCAAAATGTCAGTAACTGTCAAGTCTGTGAACTTAAATTTTAATTTCCATGGATTTTTATTCTTTCCCACTTTTATTAGGAACATATTCACCAAATTCTTTAATTTGTTACACGTGACAAAAAAATAATTATTAGGTTACTGTTAGTTTTCTTAATTAGCTCTCTTAATAAAGTTTCATGTCAACATTAATTGTCTCAGTAAATACCAACAAGATTATTGTTCATCTGATAAGTTAGGATTATCCTCATTATATTTCTGAAAATTAAATGAATTGCAGATTTACTACCAGAGATCAAGAAACATTAGCTCCACTCATTCTGTATCATCTGGTGCAGCATGTGCTCTCAAATCACATTAAATGGGCACAAATTTTCACTATCTGACATGAATCAGAAATTCTCAGGGCCTGAAAACTCTGGGAAACAGGCTTTTTTACCTAAAATCACAAAATTAATAGTTTTCAAAACTGACTAGAGAGTTTTCTTGCTCCTTTCCTGTGCAGCTTCCCAGTCTTCACAGGAAGCAGACACATCCAGAATACTTTTACTTAGAGGAAAATTATTTTGATCAAAAGGGTATGAGCGATTTGGCCCTGGGCAGGCAGCCACAAATACAGCTTGGAAATGAAGGGGATGTGGGATTGGTTGTGTCAGAGGTGCCAGCTCCAAACCCAGCCCTACCCACTTGGCAATGACAAGAGTCTCCTAGAAGAGCAGAAGCCTTCTCCTTCCTTACTCCCTGATAGTTTTTTTTCTCTAGTTGGCATTTAGTTTGGCCTGGCCAGGATGGAATAGGAGTCCTTGTAGAGATTGTTGAAGCGAACCAACAGACTTGTTTTTCTCATAGGATAGTTCCACAAACACTTTCAGTTGCCCTTGCCAGCAGAACTGTTTCAAGGTGTAAGTTTCTCAGGCAGGTATCTGCCCTTTTGATCAGATTGCACAGTAGTCATACTGATTGAATTAAGCTCTGAGAGACACAGATATTTCTCCAAGGCTGTACTGAAAGTTAAAAAGGCCTACACAAGCACCTGACACACAGATACTACAGTAAATAAAAGTAGGTTCTTGAACAAGTAGAGTGATAAAACTGTGTAACACTTAAGAGAATGAATTAATAGATCTTGTATATTCTAATCCTCATACTGAGGGTATTTCTCAAAATGCAGGAAATGCTTACGGTATTCTTGCATTGTGGTATCATTGGGCAAGTTCTTTCCTAGAAAGATGCTTTCCCTGAAAAGCCAGTTTAGGACACCTCATATCTCTCACATAAACAGAGTTCTGCATAAAGCACAACAGGAATATTATTAAGAACATAAAAATATGATTAAGACTTGTTGCTGCACTGGGCTCTTTGAATCCTCTCATTCGCATTCTGAACTGCAAATCTGAATTTTCTGAAACGGATGGATCATAGCTCATTCTTAGAAGGGAAACAATTCATTTTTGGAGAGCCCTGCCAAAAAAAAAATCCCCAAACATCAAACATGCTGCCCTCCGATGGATTTCCAAGTCTGGCTCAGGCTACTCTTTCTAACCTGAAATATGTGAAATACAAGCATAGCCTCCTGTAACTGATGTTTGTTTAGTGAACTGCTGTGTGTACAGCCACAAGAGCATGAGCGAAAGTTCAGGCAAAGAACAGAAAAACACAACACTTTACATGCAGGCAGGACTTGATCTCTGTAACTTTTTGCAATGTTCAGGAGCTTTGCTATTCATGCTAATGATGCTGTAATTAGATTCCAAAATAAATGATTCATTAATTAGTGAAGACAAAAATCACAACTATGCTAAACATGTTTGGTGTTTTTTTATGTTTGAGCTTTTGCATTACACATACAGCAACAGTGCAGCCGAATAAAAGGATTTATAGGACAAATCTCTGCAATATTTAAGCGAGTCTTACAACTTTTAATTTTCTAAAATCTGGTCTTGAAAAGTTGGCCGCCTCCATTCTGGGAGTCAGAAAACTCTGCACAAACCATCCCAATTGGTGAGGACAAGGACAACATATCTGATCTGATCTCTTTCAATTAACTTTAAAAAAATTAAATAAAATTTAAAATAAAATAAAAAAGAAGTAGTGTCCTTGCAAAGGTCAAACATCAAGGCAGTCACAAATGTGAGCCATGAGAGCGGGGAGTCGGGGCTGGCGTGCCGCATCTTGAGGGATGCTCAGGGAATAACAGCGCCTCTAGGACGGGACACAGGAGGCTCCAGAAGCAGGACCGGGGAGAGGAGGTCGGCTCCCGAGGGGGGAGAGAGCGGAACTTGCGAGGCTCAAGCGCGTTTCAGGAGTTTCCAGAGGCTCCTTTCCCCTCAAAATTAGCAGGGGGGCGAGGGAAGAGCGGGACACTCAGTATTTTCAGTGCATAAACAGGCCCCTTAAAGGCCCACCAGATCTCCTCAGATCGCTGTGGCAAAGCTGGGGAACAAGGCGGTGGGTTGGTGCTCTCGGGAGGGATTTGAAAGCGAAACAGTTTCACAGAATCGCATAATCACAGAGTGCGTCAGGTTGGAAGGGACCACAGTGGGTCATCTGGTCCAACCTCCCTGCTCAAGCAGGGTCATCCCAGAGCACAGGACTGTGTCTAAACGGTTCCTGAATATTTCCACTAAGGGAGACTCCACACTCTTTCTGGACAATCTGTTCCAGTGTTCGGTCACTGCACAGTAAAGTTCTTACTCATATTTAGATTGAACTTGCAGTATACCAGTTTCTACCCATTACCATTCGTCCTACTGCTTGGCACCACCGAGAAGAGCCTGGCCCATCCTCGTCACACCCTCCCTTCAGACACGGATGAGGTTCTCTTCCACTCTTCGCTTTCCGAGGCTGAACAGGCCCAGCTCCCTCAGCCTTTCCTCGTAGGAGGGATGCTCCAGTTCCTTAATCATCTTTACAGCCTTCCACAGGAGCTCCGTGTTTCTCTTGTACTGAGGAGCCCAGAACTGGACAGTTTCCAGGGGGGCTGCCTCCATTTCGTTGCCGGCGGAGAGCGGGGCTGGCCCAGCTGTCCGGCCCAGCCCAGCGTAAGGCGGTGTATCCCGCCCCACCTCCAGTACGGCCCAAGTACCTGTTCGTAAGGAAATACTCCTCCCGGAGTCCCTCCAGCCTCTCCTGAAGCCGGGCCAGAGCGGCCATGCTTCCTCCTTCCTCCCGCCCTCAAGACGCTGCCGCCATGGCAACGGGACCGTCCCAGTGCGCCCGGGCGCGGGGGTGTCGCTGCTCCCGGCGGCCCCGCAGCCCGGCACGGGCAGCGCTCCGGGGGCAGCGGGAGCTCCTCGGAGCTGTACCGAACCCGAAGCGGGGGTGCCGAAGGGGACGCGGCGTTCCTAGGCAGCGGCCCGGCGAGAGAAGGGAGGAGGCGAGGTGGTCGCGTCCGGCTTCCTCCGGTGCCGCGGCTGCTTCCGGGCTCTCATCATGGGGGACTGAGGAGCAGCGCCGGCCGCCCGCGCCCTCCCCGCCCGGCCCGAGCCCTCCGGCCCTCGGCCCCCGCCCGCCTCCCCTCGCCCAGTCTCTGCGAAGCGGCGCCAGCCTCCTCGGGGAGCGGCCGGGGGAGGCGCCGGGTTCATGTTCCGGGTCGCTGAACATACCCCGACCCGAGCTCAGGCGGCGAGGAAGAGCTGGTAAGCCCGGAGGTGACACACGTGCCCGCCGCCCCTGCCCGGCTGCGGGGCCGCTGCCTGCGGGAGGGGCCCGGACACTATCTCCGAGCCACGCGTGGGGCGTGGGAACCTGGGGGCGAGTGGTGGCCCCCGGCCGGGCCCTTTTCGCTGGGGGGAAGGTGATGGAGCTCGCCCCAGGCCCCCGGAGGACGAGGGGCTGGAGGTCCAAGATGTGCCACTGTCGTGTCTCGGCGGCTGGACGCGTTTATGAGCGAGCAGTGGGCTGGAGGAAGAAACTTCCACGTCTTGTTGAAAAAGGGACAGTAGGCGAAAGATAAATTAAAACTTTTGTCCCAAGCTTATTTAGGTTTTCCTGTCTGTGGTTTTCCAGTAGTCGCAGACTCTCTAAGGCCTAAAGCCCTTGCAGCGTGTGTAGCTGAACATCCAGTGCGGTGTGTGTTTCCTGCTTTAAAGCTTTTCTGCTGCAAGAATCAACAAGTGCTGCTGTAGCCATCGAGCGGGGAAAGTATGGGTAGTTCTCCTGCAAAAAAAGTTCATAGATTTACTGTTTTATGTAATACTTTATGCTAGCATAGTGACCTCAAAGGCCACATTATTTTTATTGTACTGCTGTAAGGAAGGGAGGCTGAGTAATAGAATAGAAAAGGTCAGTTCTGTTAGTAGGCCGTGGAGATATAAGGACTGGTAGTGGAGAGAGCTGATGGAAACAAGATGTTCCAAGCAACCAGCTGGGAAGCCTTTAATTTTCTTTCTGAAATGTTTGGTATCTTGTGATATGTCTGGTGTCAATTGGTGTGTGTAGGTTCTCACTTGTTTCACTTATTAATGGAAGCATGGAGGATTGTGATGGGGTTTTGTTTGTAGGGTTTTTTTCAAAAGTTCATAAACATCTTTTAGAGTCTATGTTAAATATACAGACACCTGCTGGTAGATTTCCCAGCTGAAATAGATTTGAAATAGATTTTCTTTCATCTTTTTCTTTGTTTCTTTTCTGGAGATGGGGAGGAAGAGGAATGGAATGGTTTAGTGCTTTGTTTCTCCTCCATTTTTGCTGATACCATCATTTTTTTCCCCTTATGGGTATTTTTTCTCTACATTTTTCTAAATGAGAATACTCTCAAAAAGAGATTTTATTTCCCCAGCTGATAATTATTTGCTAGAACAAGTTTTCAGGTGTTGCTAGGCATCCAAATTTGCCTGGTGTAAATATAACAACTTCTGTTGGTGTAATTCAGAATGTTTCAGAGAATGAGGAATACTCAGAGGCACAAGTGTTTTTATCTGAGTATTAATGCTGCATACAGCAGAAGCATTGCCTCAGACATTTCCAACATGTATCTGTGTTCTGTCAAATACTTCACTATTTATTTGACCTGTTATTTGTCTTTTAATTTTAATATTTCATGTCTACATAAAATAATTTAGTTCCAGAGGCTTCTAGAGTAGCCCTCAGCAACATGAGGTGGAGGCATATTTTTCTGTAATTGTCATCAGACAGTAAAGATTTTGCTTATGCTAGTACACCGCTCAGAGGAATTCAATACAGAGGAAAATAATGAAATGTTGTCCATTAAAAATCTGACCACTCCTCAGAGCTGCTGTCTTATTCTTCTACACAAGTTATTTCAGAAGCTGTCTATTAAAGGAGGCCCGTTTGAGTGGGATGCAGGAAAATACTTTTTACAGTGTCTAATACTCAATGTAGAAAATTAAGAAGTTGTGCTTTCTAAAAACATTAAGATCCTAAACAGGTGAGTAGCTTTAGAGCTGGCACAGAGTAAAATTTTTCACTTTTTGGAGTGGTAAAGCTCCTCCAAAGCAGAATGTTTTCATTTAAATTGTGAATTCATGTGACAATTTAAGAATAGTTTGTTTGTTGGGCATTCTGATTCTTTTGATAATGACTGTGGTGCTTTAGCATATTACCATGATTTGACAGCTCATGTGATTCTGCACCTTGACAATTAATTAATGAAGTCATACTTCTGAAAAGGGCAAGCATATCAGTAAATGGCAGCAATGGGATTGCAAGAATTGCCCTCTCTCATGACAAGTTGCTCCAAATCTCATTGCTGGCTGACCAATTCATTTGTGTTAGAGCCTTGTTAAATGTAGTTCATGTCAACATCTTTTTGACTGTATGCCATTGCTCTGTACTGAACACTTTTTCACAGATAAATGTGAGTAGACTGATAGTATTTATTGTTGTGCCTTCTTAGATAACCAGCAGTTTTAGAAAAGTCAGATGTACTTACTGCGAATTAGCCTGGTCCTAATTTTTAGGGGAATCAGCAATATAATAGGTGATAAAATTACATCATTCCTGAAATACTTTTTATTGTACAGGACAGAATTACAGAAATGCTCAGGCTGGAAGGAACCACGGTGGGCCAATCTCCCTGCTCAAGCAGGGTCATCCCAGAGCACATGGCACAGGATTGCATCCAGATGGGTCTTCAATATCCCTGATGAGGGAGACTCCACACTCTGGTCAACCTGTTCCAGTGTTTGGTCACCTGCACAGTAAGGAGGTTCTTCCTTATGTCAGGAAAATCCACAAATGCCAGAGTTGATGTCCAAAAAGGAGACAGGAGTCCTGCACCTTTATTCAAATAAAGAGAGAGAATCCACTGGGGCACACACCTGTGGTGTTTTCTCACTCAAGGTTTTGGAGGGCGCAGCATCCTTTTATCCTAAGCTCCCGGCCATACCTTGCCCTCTTCCTTTCCCCATTGGCTGGGGTACTAGGAAGGTACAGCCTTCCCGAACTGCCTACCACATACTCTCCCCTTGAACCTACTCTTTTACCCCAAAGCTCAGAAGTTCAGGCTTGTGCAGACCCCCATTTGTTTGTTTCAGGAGCCGAGCTGTCTGGGCTCTGCAGGGAGCCTGCTGCCCAAAGTTAGTAGAGACATAAAGACCTATTTCAAAAATGTTAACACCCACACCTTCACTCATCAAATTGTTTATCAAGACATTAGCTTTCCTCTCAACTCCTCCTCTATTTCTCAATTTGTCTTCACAAACCCTAGTTAATATTAACTTAACCCTTTAACAATAAGGAACATTTGAAACACACCCTCCTGACATTTCTGATCCCTGCACCAGGTGTGGCAAATAAATACAGAGAATAAAGTAGACAGTGGACAGTTCCTGTTAGTCCATTAATCACTAGAGGTCCTTGTCCATGGCTGCTGATAGCCAAAGTCTCCCATCCTTTTCCTTCAGCTGAGAAGTCCAAACCTCCAGGGCATTAGAGACTTTGGCCTGAGTATGATGGGTCCACCTGTCCTGGCTGCTATCTCTGCAGTCCTGGTTGGAGGTTATGAACAACAAAGTCTGAAGGCAGCATCTGTGCTAACTGGGCTTCTTGTTCAAGGAACCCCAAAATTTATGATTAGAGGAATAAAATGTTGATAGTGAATGTATGCATTCAAATATATAGGAGCTGCATATTTGATACAGAAGTTTGTAGACATTTCTAGACAGTGAAATAACTGTCTTTAATTGAGGAACAGTCACTTCCATAAATGTTCATTTTTTTTCAAAATTCTCATATACTTTTATTATTTTGTCAAACTTGTTTACGTACGTAACAGATGACAAAAAAAGGCGAGTTGGCATACCTTGAAGAATGAAAATAGCCTGGGATCTGGGAGTTGGTTTTCTCTTTTCATATATAGATGTGCTCCAGCATGATATTCTGGTTTGTCTCAAGAGTCTTTATCTTTTATAACTGTCCATCCTATCTCATATGAAAGTCAAAACCATTCAATTTCTCTAAGTGTCTCTTCTGATACTGTCACATGAAAATCACATTTTTATTAAGTCTCCTTGGCCTACAGGTCAGATTTACTTTGAACGTGTTGCCAATGTGTTGGATCTTAGTCTTTACAAGAATGAGGATCCTCAGAAGGTGCAAAGTGTGGAGCTTTTTGGGAAGGTAGCTCTTATGCCCTGCAGTGATGGTTGTGGGATGGAGGGGATGGCTTGTGGTGTAGCTTTGCATACCTGTGGTCCAGCAGATAGTGCCAAATGACATAACTATGTGTGGATGTGGAACTGGAGGCTTTGTCCACCTCTTAGTGATGGCTTTTTAATGGCAGGGAGTTTAGATAGTTTAGGCACAACTTCAGTTTCTGCTCATAGAATTGTTAAGTTTAGAAAGACCCTCTGAGGCAGAGTCTGACTATCCCAGCACTTCCACGTTCACCACTAAACTGGTGGTTTATTACCTGGTGCAACATCTACATGTTTTTTGAACACTTTCACCAGTGCTGCCACCACTTCTTCAGGCAGTTTGGTTCAATACCTGACCATTCTTTCCTAATATTTTTCTTCCTAATGAAGAATTTTTTCACAATATATATTTCTTCTAAACCCCTCCCTGGTGCAGCTCAAGGCCATTTCCTCATCTTGTTACCTGGGAAGAAGGGAAACAAAAGCTTCTGTGTAACAGAGGTTTATCAGTGATTTCCTGATCTACTGTAGTCTCTTGCTAGCTTTTTAATAATT